CCAACGATCAAATTTATACACCATAAGATATGCGTTCATATGGAATGCCCTGCCCAACGATATTCGAAAATGCCCTAGCTTAGGTGAATTTAGTAGGAAGACCAAAAGAGGTATAATACTCGAGGAGAGATTCCACGCATTGCAGGGGAGACCACCTGCCGTATACAAAAAATTGTGCTTTCTCGACGGTGAACTGAAATTTTATCATGAAACTTCAAGAAATGCAGAGAATAAAATGACTGAAGTTTGATGTAGCCCCGTAGATTCACATCGCAATGACCCTGACAAGTACTCCTCTGAAAAGGCCTTTTAGCCTGTCTCTCGAAGCCTCAGTGAGAGTAGCCCCGCTGTGCACACCCGATGTTACAGGCATTATCTTAAGGGCTGTCGTGGGGCTTATTCCACTCGTTAATAAGGCCATAGAAAATGTCTGCCGATATCATATTTCGGTCTGCATTGGTAAGCCATTGCTTCCGCCATTCATGTACAATTTAAAGTACCTTGGTTCATTCCTTTTCGACGCTGGTGGCCCACTTTCTCGATCGGAGTTTGTGAGGAGCAAACTTCGTTCAATGAAGGTTCGGTGTGCTTTTTATTGAAAGTTTTTTTCTGATTAGTCTTATTCCTGCTACAAGCCAATTACGCTCTGCATCTCGATTTCGGGTGTCAAAGTGTGTGATCAAAGCTGCCAGGTTTCACAATCAATTCCAAATTGACTTTTTACTAGACTGTCTTTATGGCTCATGCTCTACGACGAATATCTTATGCCACATGTGACCCAGCCTCCTGCAGTTTTGCCTTTTTGGCTCGTGAAGCCAGTGCTGATGCTCCAGACCAGTACTGTCACATTTTTGCGACGGAATCCCCTGTAAAGGTACTTTTCGATTCTCCTCCCATTTTTTAAAAATTCTATCGCTTTTTTCCTTTGGAAGAACGCTTCTTAGCTTAGTTACATGCCACATAGTTTTTGAGCAAAGTTATTCCCCATTCTTTCGTAAATGTTTCTTGTGTGGGTCCTCAGGTTTCCTTATCAAAGCGCTAGTGGTCTGACAAGAGCGTTTTTTTTCGGGTAGATACCAAAATACACGCTTTCGCAAAGCCATATTTAATGGCCTTTATGTTAATTAGGTAATCCATATGCTTCACTCCGAAGATTAGTTCTTGCCGCACACGGCATACACAGAAAGCACACAATTTATACATACCTCATAAATATTTGGTTTTGGAAATTGTTATTTCTGTTGATGGCTCTTCTAAAACGCTCTTTTTATGTATGCATCTTGCTATTTGCGTTATTATCTACACGCAAAAATGTACTTTGTATTTGTGTCTCAGGCATGTTGTCCCTCACATTTCTGCGAACGTAGTTTTCGTAACCAGAAGGAACATCCCAACGATATATATTTTAGAAATAATAATTTAAGGTCAGGGTGTCATGTTCCGTCTCCTTTAAATCCCATTAATCTGTCAATTGTGTGACCAGGATATAACCATGCAAATTGGATACAGCAGTTCAGAAATAAGTTAGTCTTGCTTCCATCACTGTATCACAGGTCCGGTTTTACGGTTTATTTGCAGCTTTTTAGTTATGCCATTTCGAGAAACACAATCGCATATCTTATCAACCCACCACTTCTCGGTTTTGATCAACAAACACATTTGGCACGGATCAGTGTCAATTAAATCTTACAGCGTTTTACACTGGGATCGGCGAACCACTGCAGGTATCCCCGACACATGCCCGTCGCACGCGCCTTGTCTGCTTACAGTGTTCTCGGACACAGACACCACATGGGTCCACATTTTCGCTCCACATGGCTCCACATTTTCGCTGTCGCCTCAAGAGTCCTAATGTAGAGGACGGGACCCCTTGCAGTTCAACCGCCCTTCAAGTATAGTTTCTGCAGCAGTTAGGAATTACTGAGTGTTACGTCACCAAGACGCCGCGTTTCGCCGAGATGTGATTACCCTCGGTGACCGTCCGCAGTTCTTGAGACTGCAACAACTTAGAACTGCGAAATAACAGAAATCGTATAAACCTTCGGTCCTCGCTGCTTTCTGAAACGTGCTCCGACACCAAGGCATTTATTTTTCCTCGAGAGCCAATTGCGGTTGTGTGATGCTGCTTGTTTGGTTTCACTCCGTATGA